TCTTAGGTTGTTAGAAAAGGGTGTTCGCTATGACCAGTGTGTTCTCTTGACAAAACCTTGCTTCATTTTGCTTTCCAAGGCCAAACTTGTCTGTTATTCCAGTTACCTTTTGACTTCCTACTTTAGCATTCCAGTCACCTATGATGATGATGACATCATTTTTTGGTGTTAGTTCTATGAGTTGTTGTAGGTCTTCATAGAACCGGTCCAGTTCAGCCTCTTCTGCATCAGTGGTTGGGGCATAGACTTGGATTACTGTGATGTTGAATGGTTTGCCTTGGAATCAGACCGAAACTGAGATCATTCTGTCATTTTTGAGATTGTATCCCAGTATTGACTTTTGCACTCTCTTGTTGACTATTTTATTATTATTATTATTTATTTTTATTATTTTATTACCTCCACCACTACCTAAGCAGTAGAAGGAGAACTAAAAATACTGTAATTTTTAAACCAGTTGGTAACCATCCTTTTACAATGTTAGATTTGAAGGCTGCCACGTATTTTAAATGATGTGATAAAAATATTATGTAATAAGTCTGATAACTGAATGTATAAAAGAAGGATGGTACTCAGTAGTTTATCAGAGCTCCCTAGTGTTCCCCCCCCAAAAAAAAAATCCCTTTTAAACAAGATTTCAGATACTCAAATTCAGACTGGAACCACAATCCAGGAGGTGTAAGCCTTTCCCCACATAAGTGCACTGATCTAAAAAGCCCCTGCAAAACTGCTGTTAGGGCTAAACATACAGGACCTGTATCAGGGCAAACAGCAGCTCCATGAGGCCCTTTGAGGTTGGCGAAACAGATCAGGAACATTGTGTGGGAGGCAGATTTAATAGCACTGCAGTCCCAATTGGTATCAGGGCCCAGAGCACCAGCAACTTAAAAGAAATCCCACTTGGAAATATCCCACACGAAACACTCAGCATCACCTGTTTTGGTCCTTATAAAGATTGTTGCAGAGAAGCCTGGCCTTCTCACCTATTTAGCACCACACTTCATACCTTGGGAAGGAATACTTAAGACTTCTAGGCCACAATGGTAATACCTTTGACAACCTCAAATAATCAAGTGACTTACCCCTTATGGTGATCATTTCTCTCAAAGAGTCTCATTAAAACAAAGCCTTCCAATTACTAATCAAAGAGATTTAGCTTACATGACACGTTTACTACACTGGGGTGCGTGAACTGTTTCAAGGTCACATCCTCTACGACTTTGTATGGCATCAACGATAATAATTAACCCTTCTTAGTAATGTTTTTTGTGACTACAAGCCTAGCATGAATAACCATCTGAGCTACCTTAACCATTTCAATGCCCATTTCCACTGAATGACTCAATCGTGCTTCTCCCTGGGGAAAGCACAAAAAGAGAAGGAAACCCCGCAGCACGGATAACCCGGCTCTAACCCACAGCCAGCCATTGTGTCACGATGAGGCTGCGCCTTTTAGAGAGGCTGTCACCACCTTCTTCGCTGCTTTCACCGCTGACAGGCTAAAAGGGACCAAGCCCTGGGAGAGGACTTCTACCGGCAAAGGGGACGTGAAAGCCGTCGAGTGGGAACCTTCTTCTGGACAGCGAGTGGGAGGGGAGCGGCCTAGACCTGCTTCACGGCGCCCTCGCCGGGTCTCCTCCCCTTTCCCGGGCGTCAACTCGGCCTCTCTCATTCAAACCCGGTCAGCAGCCCCCTTCTTCCACTTACTTCAGGCCTTCCACGATATGAAGGGCGCGGCATCCGCCTCACAGCCCCGTTCCACCACCGCCGGTGCCCCTTTGCTGCTGTGGCCGCCGTACGTGGCAAAAAGGGAAAGGAAGCAGCCAAGGCGGCGACGGCTGCGAGCGCCCGGCCGCCACGCATGCGCAGTCCGCACACGACCTGACGGCGGGGATCATTACACGGAAGAACGGAGGACGCGCTTCCGTAGAAGAAACTGGAGTGCGCAGGCGCACGTAGAGTCGAGGACGCGAATGCGTCTTCAGTCGTTGTTACAGCGGACAAAAGCAGATTTCCAAAAAGAATTTTGTTAGCCGGTACGCGATTATTTTCTGCTTCCTCTCTCCCCCCCCCTTTCAGTGCTTGCAACACCAAAGCTCGTTAGTCCCGCTAGGAGAAAGGCTTCTCTCAATGAAGGGGGAAACACCCCTGCTTAGAGGTGGCTTTTGCAGTGGAGACTACAACCATGCCGCATGATGGAGTGAGATCCCATCTCTAGTTCCAGCTCCTGCCATCCTAGCAGTTTGAAAGCAAGAAATTGCAAGTAGATAAATAGGGACCACTTCGGTGGGAAGGTAACAGCGTTCCGTGCCTTGGTGTTTAGTCATGCCGGTCACATGACCACGGAAACGTCTTCGGACAGTGCTGGCTCTTCGGCTTTGAAACGGAGATGAGCACCGCAACCCTAGAGTCGGATTCGACTGGCTTTCGAGCAAGGGAACCTTTACCTTTTACCTACAACCAAATGGAAACGAAACGCGTCTTTCCTTTCATTTGTTGCATGTTTCAATAAATCTCAGTGGTGGTGTGGAGTATCAGTTTGTTGGAGCTAGAGCAAAAGATTGAAGTGTTGGCTGCAGTAATCCTTTTTAGTGCATCAGATTTAACACTTAAAGTCCCCCATCCCCCGTAATCAGCACTATAACCGAGATAATATTTTGTTCTTGCCTAGGTGGAATTAGTTTTGTACTGCTTGTACTACATCCTTTGTGATCGGGCAAAGTCACATTTATCTAATTATTAGCCCTGTTAACATTACAGTAGTGTCAAAATATGACTGTATGGCTATTTATAGGAGAAAACTATGGTTAGATATTGCTAACTCTAGATAAGTAATATCCAGTAATATATGGTAACTTGAATTCAATATATTTTATATTATGTAAACTATAGGGAGCTATAATTTAACTGATTGTTAAGATATATTTTAAAGTGTATACTGAGGTTTGCTGATTAAATAACTATGTCTTTTTAGGATTGATTTATCTACTAAAATTTTTAATGTATATCATCGCTCTGTAATATGTAGCTGGCTCAGTGTTTGTTTTTTATACTGATTGCTTGCCTGGCTGTTGTTAGATCTTTGTAATTCTGAATCCTTACTAAGAAAGTGATGGCCTTTGGTTAATAATAAACATTTATCTATCATTACAGTAGCTATGTTTTACTGTGTTTTGTACTGTAAGCACTGGACCAGTGAGGTGCAATAAGAATGCCACTCTACTTGGCCACTGTGCTTCTGAGGAGGGATGTACTAAAAGGAAGGACAGGATTGCCCATTGGAAACAATGGGAAACACTTGAAGGCTCATTGGAAATAATGGGAGCCAGGAATGTCAATTGGCTTCAATGTAAAATGAGAATTATCCAACACAGATATAAAGAAAAATCAAGTGTACACTGTACACAGATTCTACATGCATTTACTGCAACTTGTGAAAAGGGCAAATGTCATACGTGCTCAGGAATTATATATACAGAAAGATTTCTGGCTTGATAGTTCAAAAACCACACCCATCAGCAACACCCCTGTTTCAATGATAACTTATTGGGTCTGGAAGAGCTGCTGTGCTATTCAAAGATATGAATACATCAGTGCATAGATATAGAGAGTTTGCTCAGTTGGAAAAGCTCCATGCCTCTTTGAACTATGATCTGAGCTGATTCAGTGAACAGGCTTCCTCCGGAGGTGGTGGACTCTACTTCTTTAGAGGTTTTTAAAGAGAGGCTAGATGGCCATCTGACAGCAATGCGGATTCTGTGAACCTAGGCAAATCATGAGAGGGAAGGCAGGAAGGGTTGTATCAGTGCTTAGTTGTTGTGGCCCTTTCTTACACACCCAGGGAAATGCTGATTGCCACTTTGGGGTCAGGAAGCAAATTTTCTCCAAGCCAGTGCCCCTTAGGAGTAACAAGTGTTCTGGGACTGGAATGAGAGACCACGAAGTGGAATGACAACCCCAGGGTGTCATATCATATATTAAATAGCATGAGGCATGATGGAACCCTGTGACACTGACAGGCCATTGGCCATGGGGCAAAGCAGGAAATCCCCAACACTACCTTCTGAGACCGACCCCTCAGATAGGACTCGAACCACCATAATATAGTGACCCTTGGTCCCAGTGCTGAGAGGTGGCTCAGTTGGATACTATGGCCACTGAAAGATCCAGCAGAACTAGCAGGGTTACACACTTTCTGCCAAGTTCTAGATAGAGGTCATCAACCAAGGCGACCAAAGCAGTTTGTGTTCTAAACTCTGGCCTGAAACCAGATAGAAATGGATGTTAGTGGCTTGTTGATATGCCAGGCTTAACCAACTCTGGCCTGAAACCAGATAGAAATGGGTGTTAGTGGCTTGTTGATATGCCAGGCTTCTGATATACAGTATGTACTGATTTAGCTCTATGATATGCAAATAATAGACTCAATTAGCAATGAATGCTGATGTTTTCATCCTGACTCAGAGACCACAGGTGAAGCGTCATTTGTTCTCATCTTTCTTCGTGATGCCATGGACCAGATCCCGCCAGGCCTTCCTGTCTTCCGCCGTCCTCTGAAGTTGGCTCAATTTCATGTTCGTTGCATCTATGACAATGTCTAACCATCTCATCCTTTGCCGTCCCCAGCTTCGTTGACCTTCAATCTTTCCCAGCATCAGGGTCTTCTCAAGCAAGTGTTCCCTTCTCATTTGGTGGCCAAAGTATTTGAGCTTCAGTTTCATTATCTGGCCTTCCAGGGAACAGTCAGGGTTGATTTCTTTTAGGATTTAGGGGGGGGAGATGGAGGTGAAATTTGAGAAAATGGAGGAAAGATTTGTGAATATGAAATCAGAGGTTGCAGAGGAACCTAAGTTTGAAAATTCTATTAAACAAGTTTCAGGGGAGGTTCAACATATCAATGAGGAAGTAGAATCTCTAGAGTTGGAATGAGAAATGGATTCTTTAGTGTTGTTGGAATTGAGAGAGAAAGAATACTATTCGAGATTTAGATCTTTTCCCAAAGCTTCTGGTGAGAACATGAGACAAAAAGTTGTAGAAGCTCTGGCAGACTTTTTAGGTATGGATAAAGATGATATAGATCCTGAAATGGATAAAGCTTATAGAGTTAATTCAAGATTTGCCACATTTTAAAAAGTGGCAAGAGATATTTTGGTGCATTTTGTTTGGAAAAACATAAGAGTCCGGGTCTTGCAACAAAATTCTAAAGTTAGATTCAAGATGGATACCGCAGACATTATTGTTCTGAAAGAAATTCTGATCAGGATTTTGCATAAGAGAAAAGATTATGCGTTTCTCACTAAAAAGCTTAAATAGGAAAAGAATTCCAATGGGATGTTAGAAGGCATAGTCTTTAATTTTCTCTGTCCAAAAGGCAAGAGAATTTCTGGAGAGACATAAAACAGAGTGGGAGGCAAAAGAGCCTTCAGGTCAAGATGATACACTGCAGCCTCAATGGGGGATGAAGAAAGAGGATCTTCACACAAGTATGGACTCTTCTACACCTGGAATGTTAACTATGGATTTCAAATACCTAATGTGGAATATAAATGGAGCCAATGCTCCCCCAAAAGGGAAAAATATTTTACTATTTGCAAAAATTAAGAGAAGATATTATCTGTCTACAAGAGACTCCTGTTAGAAAAAAGACATAAAGTATTTGGTACATAAAACCTTAGGGGAAGGATTTATTTTGGCTGTATGTTAAACCTCATTTAAAGCAAGAATTCATACTTACAGATGAACATGGTAGATATGTGGGGAGTGAAGTTATGATATCTGGGGTCAAGACCATGATGTTGGGAATTTATGCCCCTAATGTGGATAAAGGGACATTTTATAAACCATCAAAAGACTTATGAATTCCTGATGGGTGTTTAAAAGAAAATTTCAATAAAATGATGTATCGTTGGTACATGTCTCCAGATAAACTGGCTAAAATGTATAAAAATACCTCAAATGTGAGCAACATGAAGGGATATTTTAGCACATGTGGTGGACTTGCCATAAGGCCAAAAAAAATTGGATACAAACACACTTACAAATACAGAAGATTTTAAAGACTAAAATACAAATGAAACCAGAAACCTTTCTTTTGGGATTGATGGACAGACAACTTGAAAATAATCATGGAACTTTGTTTTTATATATGATAATGGTAGCAAGATTACTGTATCCTCTGAACTGGAAATCTCTGATGAATGGTTGTTAAAGTAGATGAATGGTTGTTAAAGATGTTGGAACTTACAGAGATGGCTAAATTCACCACATTGATTAGAGAAAAGACAATATCTACATTTATTACTAACTAGAATCCCCTTACTGACTTTTCGCTTGTAAGGGAACATAATGAATTAATTATTTGCAGATTTGATTATTAATGAGAATTTCAAATAGCTGAAGATTTGTTAAGGTAATTTTAGAATAAGTAATCGCTAACTTTAGCTTTAGTATAAATGATTGTATTTGTCTTTGCCGCTGAGAGATCGTGGAAGTTTTAATGGTATGTTTCTTTTTTTTTCTCTCTTTTTTTCGTCTTTACTTTTTTCTGGATTATTTTTATTTTCTTATTCTTTTTGGATTTTTAATCTTTGTCTCTCTCTGTCTCATATGACTTCTTTTCTCCTTTGACCTGATTTTCCCATTACAGGAATAAAACTAGCAGCTGCTCATACAAGGCAGTAGAGAGATCCAGATTCTATCATAGCTGTGATTTGGCAACAGTGGTTCTCCCATTCACCACTCTAAAGCAAAGTCAGAAGTTCATGATCTTTCAAACTCTGCTCTTCTGTATCAAAAATGAAAAAAAAAAGATCAGGGTTTTAAAAAAGACTCTGTATGCACTTCCTTGGAGAGAGGAGAAGGCTAAGAAAGATGGTGCACGTTTTGTAAATCAGACATAGTCCAGAGCCTGTAACCCATATTGAAGACCAGTCCAGGGAGGTAGTTTAAGGCTGGAGATAGACGCTTATAACAAACTTACAATGTGTTCACTGTTGTTATCACCATATTTTGGATTAGGGTGGGCACTGCAGCCAACCTGGAATGTGATCTCCACATGCCAGATGGGGATAGAGGTCAATGGAACACAGCAACTTTAAAAGCTGACATCATAACTCACTATTTATTGATGGAATAAAATTTTTTAAAACACAAACACAAGTTTTCATTGCAATATGCATTTATTTAGAAAATTCATGCCCATCCCTACTCTCAACACTGCCCCCCCTCTTAGCCCTCAGCTGAATGCAGACTTGTCCTGCGCTCCATTTCCTTGCATGTACACATGGTACTTTTACCTATCTAAAGGTATGCATAACAAGAGGACATGTTACTCTAGTATTCCTCTAGCTGTATAATGGCATCCTGCAGACTCCTGGCATAGCATATTCTTGGGAGAAAATAGCATTGAAGTTTCTTTTGTAAAACACATTTCCAGATCTCTTTGTACATTTCACAGTTATCAGACTCAGCAGCATTCAAATGAATGTTCCCCCGACTACCAGTATTGGTTCTTAGGGTGTTTTGACTGGTCTGACCGGTTTTACTAGATTATTTTCCCAGTTTAACCTCACTGTTCATTTGTCACTTGTGTCTTTTCTTTCCTTTTTCTTGCCATATAAAGCATTGTTTTAGACAGCAGACATTATTGTTAAGTGCAGTTTTTAATGTGAGATATACATTCTTTTCTTTCACTGTGTATGCATTGTAGGGAACCAGGATTTGCTTAGCTTTCTGACACATGGCCATAAGCACTACTTTAATATGTGAAATTCTTCCATTCATCGCTTTTTAGACCTTTGGTCAGTAATTTCCATATTATTCCTCATAGTACCTCATAGTGGGTGTCATGGAATTTGTCCTTTTGTCAAGAACAAATGATCTAACGTCCACATTGCATGAAATATCAAAGTTCATGAAGATAAATCCTATTTTTCACATTTGAGAAAGCTATTTCAGTATACGATTTCATTATAACTGCTTCATTGTACTGTTAATTCAGTGAGCAATCATCTTTTCAGGGCATTGGAGGAGGAGAGAAATCTGAAGCAGGAAATAAATATAATTATCCTCATTTTACTGCATTGGTGGGAACTTAGCATTTATGGATTCATGTCTCAAGACAGCCTGTACCAGAACAAATGGGATAGCATCTGAAGAATTCTTGTAAGAAGTCCTGTACAAGAACAATATTACACTTTTTCCCAAGAGAGTTGTCATGCCTTGAATTACTGAGGTTCCATTCCTGGGTGTAACATTTTTGAGAAACAGAAACAACCAAAACCTCAATATCTTTTTTTGGTTTTAAAAATGGAATCTATAATGTTAAGTTTTATTTTTGCAATCACTCTTCAGAATTGCCTACCAGAGACAGCTCATCAAATGGTCCTGTAGAATTAACAGTTCTAAAGAGTCCAGATGGGTTCATTTTTCTAATGATACTTGGAAGGAAAAAAGACCTTGGATTCAAGGCTCTACCTATCTTAGAGCGTTGAAAGGCTTCAAAAATATCAGTAACTTTTTCTCGGAATATTGCAGATCTGAGAACTTGGAACACAAAGATCTGAAGTCCCTGTAGGTTAAAGAAAAAAATCAGAATGCCATCAAATTGATGGACACTTTCCTGACCACTAGGAAAATAGTTAAATTCAAACAAGGCTACAATATTTAGTCAGTTTATCAATTAAAATATTTTCAGCAATTAAAGAGTGTCGTTAATTTTTAAGCAGCAGATTCTTTTTTAAAAAAGGTATATAGAAATTCTTGTAAAATCTACAGGTGGCAATTGTCATTTTAGAAAAAGCATTCAGTCCTTCATTCTTATCCATAAAACAGGGAAAATATGAAAGCACTTTCTTCAGAACTATTTTTATCACTATTAAATTTGATGTAATTAGCCATTACTCATATCAGTGAAAAGGTCCTTAAGCAGGTAGTAGCCTTAAATCCAGGTGATTAGAAGAGCAGTCACCTTTAAAACATAATGGGGCTTACAGAACAGATTAGATGTGTGCTTTGAGGTATTGTTCATGACGGGGCCTACCCTATCCTAACATGTCTGCAATTAAGTGTACGCAGACTTGGAAGAAAGGGCAAACTAGATGCAATGTTGGGAAATCAGTGAACTGGTCTTCCCAGCATTTGAAAAGGGGAAATAGTAACTTCACAAGACTCCAATTCAGGGGAAAGGGCTAAGGAGACCTTCCATTAATTGGAATAGCTCCTGCTTTTCCCCTTCCCATGCTAAAACATAGAAAAGGTGCACCTTTCTCCATCTCAGGGAGAATAACTGGGGGAAGGGGGTAATGTCAGTCTGCAAAACTACACAGGAGAGTAGCATTAAATTTCCTCCTATACCCACCCTACCCACATGACCAATTGGAAACCTTTAAAAAGCACTAGGATCTCTCACACTATGTTTAACCTCAAGTCTCAATGAAAGTATTAAGCCATGCCATTCCCTACTGAGACTGAAACAACTTCCCAGATACAATTTGTGCAGTGCTATAAGAATGCCTCGCTGTCTTGATTAGGAGTAACCATCCAGATAATAGTGCTATAAGAGTGCCCCTCTGTGTTAATTAGGAGCAACCATCCAGATAATAAGGCTCTCCTAAATATAGGCAAAACCTATGGCTCTGGAACAGGATTCTTTAATTTGTTCTCTGAAAACACTCGAAGATTGACCTAAAACAGTATCCTTGGGTAGGCAAATGGCTGTAAAAGTAAGGGCTTTTAAGCCAAGGCTCAGTCATCGAGTGGGGAGGACAACAATTACTGCAGAGTAACAAACCAGACTACAGGGATTTCTTAAATACATCCAAAAGTCATACAATATGTAAGTTCCCTGGGAACCCAGAAGCCAGAACCTTCCATTGAATAGTTAGCTGAACAAAATTCCATTCCAGTAGCACCTTAAATATCAACAGAATTTCCCAGGGTATAATAGGGTAGTCACCTACAGGTTTGGAAATACCTAGAGATTTGAGTGTGAACCTGGGAGAGCAGGGTTTAGTAGAGTTGCCAACCCCCCAAATGGGGCCTGGAGATCTCCAGATTACAGAGATCAGTTCCCCTGGAGGAAATGGCTGCTTTGGAGGGTGGACTCTATTGCATTGTACCAAGCTGAGCTCCCTCCCCTCCCCAAACCTAGCTGTCTCCAGCCTCCCTCCCCCTCCTGCTCTGCTCAGATTGTTGTTAATCCTCCTCCCCCTCCAGTAACCTACCCTGATTGGAATGGCATGATTTAAGGGGAGGGGGAGAATTTAATGAATAACATTATAGATTTAAGAAGATAATATTTATACCATACCTGTGTAGCACTGAAAAAACAGAACACATAAGTGAAAACTATGTTTGTTTTCTCATGGTCTATTAGCATCAGATATCCCAAGATCCAGGTGACTCCAAGGGTTGCTGCTATAGAAAGAGTTCCAAGTATGTTCTTCACAATGGACTTCTTTTTGGTGCTACAAAAATGAACGGTCAGTCAAATTTTTCAAAATTCTGTGGTATATCTCGTAGCATTTAATTTTGATAAACTTTGATTATTTGATTTAGTGCTGCAATCCAGAACTCTATGGGCTTTCCATCAACAGAAGCATCAATGTGACGTGACTTCACTGGGGAAGCAAGGCAATACGGCAAGTTGAAGCTGGCTGGGCCATGAAGTGGATACACAAGTGGATACACAAGTGGTGAGATGAATTTTTTGAAGAGGAATTATAAACATCTATATTTGGACTTTTCACTGTTTGAGGAATTTGACTTGGACTATTTCTGAAGGTGGATTAATACGACTATTTGTGTATTTGTACCATGTATTTTTGAGTTTCTATTACATTGTATTTTTGAAAAACTGCTCTATTTATATAGGTTTAGATTATCGTACTTATTAAATGTTGAATATATATTTTTCATTAATTTCTGCATGCTTTGATCTTTTGTATCTTTTTTATTACTTACTCCCTTCTGTGCTTCTCTGCTGTTTGGACGACCTGGAGATTGGCAACCCTATACTGTCTTAATCACTGTATTATCTACCACCCAACATAGACATTATGGGATTCACCACTGATGAATGGGAATGGCACTGACATGAGGGAAATTTCACATTACCCTCTTTAAGCCATTTTTAAGCCGTTATTGTACCGTCTTGGAGTAAACCAGTACAGGGCTGCCATTTCACACAGCCTTTCCCCTACCGGTAAGGAGCCGTCTCTGAAGCGGTTTGGCATTTCAGACTGCGCAGCTTTGTTTTCCCACCCTTTTTCGCCTGCGCGGGCGCTCCCCGCCCTTTAAAAAAATGTTTGTTTAAGAGCACTATACCACTATAGTACTATAGCACTATAACACAACACCAAAACAGCAATCCCATTGGAATGCCTGGACTCCACTGGGATACATGAGATGGCTACATCTGCCATCTGGAAACAAGGACCTCATTGGACAGCAGGCTTTGGCAGGAAATCAGGGCTTCAGTGATTGGTGTGACAGATGTTGCTAACCCAGCCTGATGTGCATCCATCCATGCCAAGAGGCAATTGGCTGGGAAGTGACTGGCACAGAGCTGGATCAGGTATAAATGGCAAGGAGGCAAACACCTTATCTTTGTGGGCTGAAGTTGGTGAGTGGTAGGCTTGTCTGGTTAGAGTAGTTTTGCTGGCAGATGTAGCCATCTCATGTATCCCAGTGGAGTCCAGGCATTCCAGTGGGGTTGCTGTTTTGGTGTTGTGTTATAGTGCTATAGCGGTATAGCGCTCTAAAACGAATGTGTTTGTTTTTTTTAAGGATGTAGATTGCCCATGCGGGCGAAAAAGGGTGGGAAAACAAAGTGATGCAGGAGGAAACGCCACGGGGCATTTTACACAGCACCCCGTAGCACTTCAGAAACAGTATAGAAAAGTAAAGACCGCTTGGAAGCAGTTTGCAGGCAAAACGGTTCAGAAACACTTCCCTAACGGGACAGAAGCATTTCTGTCTGAAAGTGGAAATATATTCCGGTAGGGAACCATTACTAAAATGGTTCTGTCTGAAATGTCAGACCAGAAACCATTAGGGAACAGTTCCTGAACTGGAATATATTGGCTGTCTGAAATTCCCCATGAAAGTTGGAAAAGCACTTAGGGTGACATTCATTCTCAATCATTTACTAATCAGGTACTCAGTGAATGCTTGCCCCATAAATACATCTTATTTTAACGGAAGAACCTTCTTTCTAGTGTTTTGAGTCACTGCAGTAAAAAGATGTAGCTGTTTCACATAAAATACCTTGTCAGTTCCTTGTTTTCCTTCCATAGCACAGAAATAATGATCTTCCCAAACATAATAACATTGAACAGAAGGATGAATGCCACAGGTAAAAGGAATGCCCATAACAAAGGTTTCTCAACGGAGAAGTTCTGATGCGAATCAAGGGCTGCGAGCCAGCAACTTAAATATTAAAAAAGATCATTCCAGAAACTTTTTAAGTTAGAAATTGCATTGTCATATTAATATATATACACATCAACTTTTGTCACAGCTTTTCTATTAACATAATATTGTCCATGTAGGGGATGAATGAACTTCTAGAATGGAATACCACAGCCAATCATCATCACTAATTCTATACCATTTTTTTTTTTAAATTAAGGAATCAAGATACAATAAACCACATTGAAGTTTTCTAGGAAACTGGCAACCATTTTTTAGGATGTGATCAAGACTCAGGTTTCATGAAGTAGTCTGTGTTCTGTGGTTGTGCACATAATGCCAAGGCTGCATTCAGATGGCACAATAAACTATGATTTGTTTAAGCAATAGCTTGTTGTACAAACCCAGGTTAGTCTAACCAGAAGCATGTAACGGCAGTTTGGTTTGTAAATCTGTTGTTACCTGCCCTGAGCCCTGCTGTGCAGTGGCGGGAGGGCTATAAGCCAAAGATAATAAATAACATAAAAAATGTCAATTGGTCTGTTCTGCCTATTCCCACCTCCAATCAGAATTGCTGCATGCAATCCCAAGCTCCTTTGCATTGCCAGGCTGCTGGAAAAAGTTCACAATGTATATAGCCCACTTGCCATTGTTCAACTGCATTAAATGGAAGGGAGAGAAGAAGTCTAGGGCAAGCCAAGCCTTTTCCTTCTTGCTGCTTGCATATTTCTTAAAGTTCTTGATGTCAATCAAGACGATACTCTTCCACCTACTTTTCCCTATCCAAGACATTCTAAAGATAGCTTTTTAAATCCAGCAGGTATATGTCTTGCCAGATTCTGCATGCAATTCAACAGATTCTGGCTAAATGGTCTGATTGGCTTCCCAAACTCGAGAAATTTACTTTTGTCTCCCCGAGAGGTTGTAGTGTAATCAATTATGTTTTAATTTCTCCCTCACTGAAACCGCATGTCAAAGATTTTACAATAGATGATTTTATTATTAGTGATAATTTCCCTCTCATTTTAACTCTTCAAGTTGGTCCTCATACTTATCCTTCTTGTAACCTGATCTCACAACTCTCTGAGACTGTTTTACTACCTAGAATCCCTTGGAATGATCGTATCACAGGGAAAACTCAACAACTTTTTAAATCTAGCCCTCTTCTGGAGTATAGATCTTCTCTAATAGATGTATCTAATCCCATAGCAACTATAACAGTTTATAACACTCTAATACTTCATATATCTGAGTCACTGTGTGTAAAATCTGACACCTTAAACAAAAAAAATAATAACTTTGCAAACCCTGTGAATCCTTGGTTTGATAAGGAATGCACTAGTCTTTTTCCCTTGTTATTTGGAGTACCCCAGTGGCAGCTAGCCAAAGGGGGTGGGAGAGCAGGGAGAAGAGGAAACAAAGGGGAGGGTGCAGCATACACATCCCTTGCTCATGCACTTGACCAAGTCGGTGGCAACTGGACACCCCCTCCACAGGTCACAAGTGATGTTAACCGCAATTAAGCAAAAAATGCAGGTTTGGGTTATAGATGCAGAATGCATACACAAAAATAAACTACAGAAAAAAGAATAGTGCAGAGGGCAGGGACACAAAATACAAAGTTAACCTTAAAGGCTCAACTGCTCGAATTCTCCAGAGTAAGCTATAGTGAGCTGTTAGTGCAGAAAGGGCCCCAGAGTCAGATAACTGTGTTCAACCTTCCCTATGCCCCTTGTGGTTGCACTCAGAACTGCAATAGATTTTTTAAAATGCGTTCATGATTCAGCAATGGACACCAGCTTCAGGGGCTTTCCAGCTGCTTCCTTCCCCCCCCCCCGAATTTTGTCCCCCCCAGTCCCTCCCCCATTGGCTCTGAGCTCAGACTAGCCAAAGTTGCCTGGATGAATTTCAACTGGTGCAGCCTGAGGATGTAGACAAATTGTTTGGTGAACTGCAACATTGAGGCTTGCTCATCTTCACTTATTACATCAAGCTGAAGGAGGGTCACTGGCTGACCTATTTATGTTAAGATGGGACAGTTTCAAGAAGAAGGCAGTTGTGAGGTTCCTCCTGAAGAGGTCTTCCTTGGAACCAAATAATTTGAATAATTACAATCTAGTGGTAAATACTGCCTTTTGGTGAACAATGCTTGAGCAACTGGATGTGGGTTGTGAAATTCCAGACTTTCTTGGATGAAAGGGATTATCTAATGCTCTAATTTTACAGAATGCACATAAGATGTATAGATAAACCAATGAGCGATCCCCAAAGAGATGAAATAATTGTGTAGAATGAACAGGGGTCTATATAAAAATGCCAAGTACAAAATGCCCTCTCATTCAAAGGAAATTCAACTTGACAACATTACCCCAGGAATATTGCATCACTTGAAGAAGTGAGGGTGTGAACCACTATTATAAATACATATATATGTACTTACAATTCTTCCTGGCGGTAGTTTGAGTTACTGTAGGTTGCTCCCAGTGTTATGCTAACAAATAATGCTGGGACTCCTAACAAGAAAAAAGAACAGCAACAGGAATTCATTATTCAATCTAACTGCAAAAACGTATTACCACCTAACTCTTCGAAGTTTTGCAAGTGCTAGTTGAATAGGATTTTGACCACTGGTGTTTGAATTTACGACCTCTACATTTTGAAGAACTAGTGAAATTTCGGCAAAAACAGAAGAAAGATAACAAAGTTGCTACTAGCAAAAAGACTGGAAAACTAATAAAACTAGCCCGAACTCTCCTTAGAAGCTAAAATGACTGAACTGAGGCTATTGTACTTTGATCACATTGTACTTTGATCACATTGTACTTTGATCACATTGTACTTTGATCACATTGTACTTTGATCACATTGTACTTTGATCACATTGTACTTTGATCACATTGTACTTTGATCACATTGTACTTTGATCACATTGTACTTTGATCACATTGTACTTTGATCACATTGTACTTTGATCACATTGTACTTTGATCACTGGAAAAGACAATGCTAAGAAAAGTTGAAGGCAACAGGACAAGAGGAAGACCCAACATGAGATGGATTGACTCAGCCAGGGAAGCCACGAGGGCCCTCAGTTTGCAAGACCAGAGCAAAGCTGTTAACAATAGGATGTTTTGGAGGTCATTCATTCATAGGGCTGCCAAAAACTGGAAGTGACTTGACAGCACTTCACACACACACACTAAACATCTCACAATCAGATTTTTGATTCAAGAAGTCTGGGGTGTTGCAATAAAATAAAATTTGTCAGAAGTGGTTCAACTAAGAGCTGATTGTATAAAAACATTTATACATAGCTGGAAGTCTTTTTTTAAAAAATTTTGGAGGAAGGATTAAATATGACATTAGACTCGTATAAATGTGAGCCCAGCCTCACATTTACATTAAATAGGATAATGGAAATGAGTACATAGTCAAAACTGAATGTTAAATAATTGTTATATCAACAGGCTTTAAATGTTGTATTTGTAATATTGTAATGATTGTTTAAAATTTTATTGTTGTGAGTTGTTTCAAAATTTTAAAAGTTGATTTAACATGGTATTGTTACTATACATTTTTCTTTTGAAATTTAAAAAAATTAAAAGATGTTACACCAATATTTTGACAGCAGCATGATGAATAGACAGTGGGAAGCCTAGTGATGTACCCATGTGTTTGGATTACTTGTTTCATTTTCTGTCGAGCAAACAAATACGCTAGACAATGTGTCCAAATGTACAGCACCTGGGATTAAAAGGTCCATCAGATCAGTTTGAGTGCCCTCCGAAATGTCAGTTATATTGGAAAGGTTTCTGAATTTGCATGGGAATGCCCTTATCCCCTGCTCCCCTTTGAGTCAGCTGTAACCCTGATTTATTCTGAATACATCACTGTGGCTGTCACAGTTCAACAAAGGAAGAACTTGCAAGAGAATGAGAAGGATTTTCGTTCTTACCCCATCCAATTAATGACATGGTTGTATTATAATGTCGAAATAGATGCTGCTTAGCTTTTATGAATAGCAAGTACATTTGTACAGCATTAAGAGCAGTCCACATAAAAGTTGCCAGCAAGAAATAATGCAGTAAGGCAGCTACAGCCGTACACCAGTCATTTGTAGGAGGGCCTTCCATGTCAGACTGGAGCATGATGTTGGCAGCAGAGTTTTCGTCAGCATTCATGTTGGCATTTGTGTTTTCAATTCCAGAAACAAAGATTATGTTAAAAATCAGCATAGCTGAACAGAGGCTCACATCCATCAAGGTAACAAAGGTTTTCCGTTGTTTCCTTTTGCTGAGAGTTCATTGTAAGTTTCCAGGACACCAGAAGCAAAAACAGAGGTTAAATATTGAGTTTTAACTCATACACTGCTTTGTAGGCTTTGTCATCATGCTGGCCATAGAAAAAGGATTCCCTGTATTGTGACCCTGGAAAACTTTTCCCTCATTACAAAGAAGTTCAGGACAGATACATTTGCTTCTTATCTATTCATTTCTGTGAGCTAAGGGTTCTTCCTCTCCCCCACCCCAATATCTTGCATCTTCCCAAAATATAAATGTCAAGTAACCTATTTTCTAGTATATTAAGTGCCTTCAACTTTCAAAAATTAAAACTTACCATTATAATTATGGAAAACGCTGCCTGCACACCATTGTCACTTGGCTTTGGAACCCCCATTTTAACACAGCAGTAATTCAGTTCAATATCCTGAATAATCTCTTTACCTCATTGCTCACCATTTGGAGACTAATGAAAAACATGCTAATCTTAAGAGTCAAAGGTTTACTTTAGGCAAATGCAGAAATATAGGTATATTCAATACTCTTTACTCTTTTCACTATTGTCTTTATCATAGAGACAGGAGAAAATCTTATTGCATCACCTGGAAGTGATGTCAAATCTCCCTGAAACTCCACCCTTGCCAGGACCCCCCCCCCCTCAAATTTCCCAGTATTTGCCAGTGCAGGATGGGAAGCCTACTGACCAGTGCTTCTACTCTTATGTCATTTTATGATGAAAAGTGCCATCATGTCACAGCTGACTTATGGTGATCCATTGGGTTTTCAAGGCAAGCAATAATCAGAGGTGGTTTGCCACTGCCTGCCTCAATGTCACACCCCTGGTATTCCTTGAAAGTCTTCCATACAAATACTGGGCACAGCCAACCTTGCTTAGCTTCCAAGCTCTGATGAGATTGGGCTAGCCTGGGCTATCCAGGTCACGGCCATGCCATTTTACAAGCAGTTATCAACCTCCTTAAGGTGAAAAATGCTAAAGTATTTTATTTCACCATCAAAATTTTAGCGAAGATTTAAGATCTTTGATTAGTGAGCCTATGTTGACTTGATGCATTTTAAAGATGTTATATTCCTCCCTATCCCTCCCCCACACACACACTGTAAATCTGTTCTTTGACCCCCTGATCTCTAAGCAACCATATCGCAGTCAAGGGTCGGTGCCATTCTTATCTTTCAAGGAAAGTGTAAAAGGTTTGTTTTCTTTATGTACCTCTTAGGAATGTGCTCTAAACAGAAGGTAGGGTGAATTATGTTTAAGAGCACAATGGCTGAACCTTTTTTTCCAAATACCAGGCCCTGACCTTTTGCCTGTTTTATTCTATAAAGGAAGAACTTTGAATCTTGTTCAGTATACCATCTTGTTTGTGAGTCTTCAGCACTCAGATGAGCTCACATCAAGAATGATCCCCAAACTCTGGCTTCCATAGACTCCACCACAAAATCTCCAGGAATTTCCCAACGGGGAGCTGGCAACTCTAGTCAGGATTGGCCTCATTGTATTTATTTCCACAACAGGCCTTATTCTTAGTTCTTAATAAAATTGTATGCTCTGTCAGCAAAATCCTTGCGTGAATCTTCTCTCTCCCAGATTGATCTCGGAGAAGGGGGGTTGTGCTGGGTTTTAGAAAACTCCCCTAACAAAATTCTTTTTGAAAACTGTCTGGAAACTACAGCTGGTCCAAAATGTGGTAACCAGGCTACTGCTGGGGTGGGATATATGGATCATATCACTCTGGTACTATAAGAACTGCACTGGCTGGCTGTCCATTTATTTCTGCACGGAGCACACTGCACAGTCAATAGGAGAGCCAGAAATTGCCAATACGCTGAGTCCACTCTAAGTGACTTGGGGCCAGGATTCTTGAAGCACTGCCTCCTAACATACTGTCCAACCTACCAGCTAAGATCTTTCTTACAAACCCTGCACTCTGTGCTTCACCTTTAGAGGTGAGGTGGGTGGCAACAAAGTACAGGGCTTTTTCAGTGGTGGCACCTTGATCATAGAATGCCATTCCTCTTCAGTCTTATCTGGTATCTATCCTACTCTGCTTTAGATGCCAAAACAAAATTATTCTTTTTACCCAGACTTTTGACAGCATTGTTAAGACTCTGCTTCTAGCCTGTGAACATTTTTGTATGAGACTCATAAACTGCTGCATGTTTTACACTGTTTTTATGCTCTGGCTGAGTGTTTTTTTAATGCTTGCTTTTAAATTGACTACTTTTATGGGGTTTTACATTTTACTTTGTAAGCTACCTTCAAGGGGTTCTCTGGAGAGGTGGAATTTAAATTTTTTAAATAAATATAAATAAATAAATATACACATTTGAGCTTCATAAAAACTTCTGGGGAGCATTGGAATGGGAGAGCACAGTTCAAGAAACACCAATCCAAGATGCATTGCAAGGTGTATATCATAACATAACATGTATGAAACAAGTTGTGCAGATCTTTAGATTTTCCCTAAGAAGAGATATGTATTGCACATTTATTCTCATACCTCGTAAAGAGAGTATGAGGCATGCAAATGCAATAGGAGTCAAAATGTGTGACTTTCATTTTCTGTCCTCACTGAAAAACATTAGAGGTGGGGATTTCCAATGAAACCCTCCACCTGCCTCTGCCTAAATCCCAAATATAAGTGATCCGTCAGGATACGTGGGAGGGGGATGTCCATTTATAGTTTAAAGAATTGATAAGTGTTTTTCGCCTCCCCAGCAGTCTGTTCATACCATCCTTAACCCTTCCTCAACTCTTTCCTTACCTGATAAGAACGTGAAACACAGTGGTACAAGTCAAGCCAGCAATGGACAAACCGCAACCAATATATGTAAAAATCTCTAGAGGCCTTGCATATTTATAATTGATCCTGAAGCTCTGTAAAATAATTGTATTCCTTATTAGTCATCTTCATAAATTTTCTTTGCACATATGGATAAACTAATGTATTTCCACATGTTTGTTTTCCTGGGTATAACCTACACAAGTTAACTGTGCAATCTTATACAGATTACTCCAGTATAAACCTACTGTAATCAAGCTTAGACTGGAGTAACTGCATAGGATTGTACTGAAGGAAGATCATAAAGTGTGGGTGGGAGCTCGCACCATAATATTGCTACATGTAGTACAATATTATGATGAAAGGTATCTGTTGTAGCTGTAGCAGGAAAAAAATAAGAATTATTTTTCTCTTATGAATATATATAATTAAAAGGAGGGTGGATCTGAAAACCAGCACCAGTGGGAAGAAAATGGAGCTCATTTCTTACCAAGCCTTTATTTGTAAGGTGCTCAGAAACCCTCTAGATTAGAGTCAAAATCCACTAGCCAGAAATCATTAAATCATTTTAAAAACCATTAAACGTTTTTCCCAACAGCTCCCATCCCCCAAATTCAACTGAGTAAAGGGGAAGATTAGGGTTGTTTGAAAATAAAGCTTACTGGCATGTATGCTTAGTTACTTACATGGAATTCAGTCTAAATCCCATTGAGATTAATGGTAAAACTGACATTTCCCCCTTGCTCTAATCAAGCTGATTAAAATATGCATTTTATCTTTGCATCCTTTGCAAACATTCTTTACAACACCCCTCTCACCTTCTAACTGGGATATAAAGACTCAGAGATCTTCATTCCTACTTGTGTCTGATGAAGGGGGGCTCCACTCTCAAAAGCTCATACCCTGAAGATCTTGTTGGTCTCTAAGGTGCTACTGGACTCGAATCTAACTGTTCCACTGCAGACCAACATGGCCACCTTCTGAAATCATTTAATCCCGTCCTCCTCATTCCATCTCTTGCCTTTCTATACATGATCTTTTCACACAGAGCATTTCCAGTGGTTTGGGTGCTGAACTGCAGTGGTTTTCTCCACGCTGTCATGTGGGTCTGCCTGCGGACACCTCCTCAGATGAGGAAGAGATGGAGGAAGCTGGCCCCAGCCCCTGGATGCTGCAGGAAGACCTGCTGGGCAAGGTATTACTGGTAAACTTGTTCAAGTAGATTCAGTTCACATTCAGGTAGCAGTCAAGAGAAGAGAGAGAAGCCTAAAGAGTACTTTCCCCATCACAAATGGCCAGTTTGTCCAGCATCATGTGAGGGCGTTGTATCTACAGGAGAGACCTGTAGAACCATCTCATTCAAGGAGATAATAACTATACACACTTAGAGTAATGTAGTGACCCGCAATGTCCAGGCATGCCGAGTCACTCACTCCAACAGGTAGCAACTGCCTCAGGGGCAGAGGAAGAGTCTCAGGCCAAAGTCTGCCTTCCATGCCCTCAGTCCCACAACCCGGGATCTGAAGCTGAAGGAGAAGCACTGCAGCTGACAACCTCACCCCCAGGGTCACCAGAGCCTTTTGAATGCTGGAGAAAGCAGGGCTGGAGGGAGGTACAGAACTGGCACCATAGCATAGAGTTGGCAGCCAAGTACCGGTCCACCTCTGCCTGTGAGCTTGAGTCACCACAGGATATGGGTTGGTGGCAGCCCTGTAGGCTGCTCAACCATTGATGAATTGCACCTGTCCCTGATGACTCAGAAGGTTGATGAGTTGCACCTGTTCCTGAATGACTCAGCAGGGTTTTCCTGATAAAAGCATCCAGGAAAGGGTGAAGCAGCATGGAAGCAACTTGTCCATAGCTTTCATCTGCCTGCTTTGGTTCTGTGGCTTTTTCCAGACTACAGCATGTTTGACCTTCTGGACTGTGACCTGGCTTGTACTCTTTGAGTTTTTCTTCTGGTTTGATGCTTGGGCTTCTGAATACCTGTGCTTTGACCCCTGGACTGTGTTTGGACTCTATGCTCGTTGCCTTCTGCCCCAGGTACCTGCCTGAACCTGGGCATGAGATTTCTCAGAATGATTTTTTCCCACTTCTGTGGTTCCCTTGTAGTTCTTCTATGCTTTCTCAAATCAGATGGTTAGAGAAAGCATGGAGGAATGACAAACACACCACAGAAATGGGAAATGATGTCAGGAGGAAGCTCAGAGAAAAACCACTGCTTTTTGGCATCCAAGAGATAGTAAAAGATAGGGGAAACCTCCATGTGAAAAGATCCATTCTGAGTTGGTAATTACAGTTTCAGGTGTATGTGCAGTTATGCCTCACGTAGGAGCAGGTGTGGGAAGTGGCATATACCTGCAAACAGCAGAACAAGGTGGGTTTTTTAAGGTAGTAGTTCTATGAAAAGAGTACCCTACCATTAATATTGCAAAATTAGTTGTGTGATTACAGCTGCATCCCAGTAACTTTGGTGAGTTTTTCTCTTTTATGCAGCCTGCCGTATCCCAGTCGTTTAGTGAGTAATTCCAAAATACACATGCATAATTGTATAGCTGAAATTCTGATCTGTTATACTGCAGATTGGGGATAAAAAAAACAGGTTAATAGTAATAGATTGAGAAAATTTTGCAACTTTGTTCCAACCAAAATAGATTTGGCTGTAATGCTTGCTAGATCACCACATGAACATTTATCCTAGGGTTACTATTCATGAATGCAGCAAGTCTTGCATTGATGTGAAGCATTCCTACACTCTTCCACCTCTATGTAGGTGATAAAGCTGGCATGAATTGGCATTTTCAGTAGATTTGTGTCAACTTTAAGTGGTGGTTAGTTGATGGCCACTTCACATAGGCCCTAAATAGTGGTTAGTTGAGGATATTTTTCTATGGTTAGTTGATGGCCACTTCACATAGGCCTTAAATAGTGGTTAGTTGAGAGTGTCTCATACAGGATATTTTTCTTTGCAAAAATTATAAAATCAGTTGGATCCCAAGGATGAGTCTGTGGATGGAAGTGGGACATTTTCATCAATTTCCCCCTTCCATGGCAGACCACCAATTCCTCCTTCATGTTATTCCTGGGGTACCTTGTTCCCCAGGAGCAGCATGAAGGGACATTTGGGTCTGCAGTGGGAGGGAGTAGTGAGAAAGTGATGTTCTGCTGACAGAAATCATTCCACCATCGGCTATATTTGGCAGTACACAAATCTATGTGACAAATACCATTCAAAATGAAGGTGGCACAAGTACATTTTGCAGGATATATTTTGTTGTTACTGACAAAAGCTTCCCAGAACACACAACAAAACAGACGTTTCTGTAGTAATTACACATAATGGAGTACACTTGTATACATGGGTTTTTCCTGCATGGATTTATGCCCTTCTAAGGATAATGTATTATATATTTTTTTAAATTACTTTATTGTTAACTACACAAAAAAGAGCAATCCAAAAATAAAGCTATTATAATATTATTGACCGGTATTCCCAGAAAACCTGGGTTAAACCTAAATTTTCATACACCCACAAAACAACTCATATTGACACATGTTTGCAATAGCCTTACAATTTTAACCAAATTCTGTAATCATTTCTACACAGAAGAACTTCATTGTGTCTCAGAAACCCAATAATTGGCTTCCAGATTTCATCATAATCACAGGGTGAAAAAGGCAACTGAGAACTAACAAAGAAAGAATTGTTTACTGTTTTCCCCATGATATAAACATCCCAAAGTTTGTCAAACCAGGCATCTATGGATGGCCTGTTTGTTTTTTTCCAATTGGCTGCAATCACCTGTCGTGCAGCTGCAATCAATATCGAGACTAAGGAACACTGACTCTTTTCCATTGAATAATCCGGCTATAGATCAAAAATAAAAAGGTCTGGAGACATAATGAGAGAAATGTCTACCATTTGTGAGATCTTATCAGCAACTGTGCACCAAAAGGATTGGATAATGTATTATATGTATTTATTTATTCATTCATTCATTCATTTGATTTATACCCCGCCCTCCCCACAAAGCAGGCTCAGGGCGGCTTACACTGATAATACATGAATAACAATTAAAATCCACATAAAATCATCTAAAAACAATTCAATTATACATAATTCATAAAGTGCTGGTGCTGATTAATTAGTTGTTTCGGATGGCTTGCTTTAAGAGTGTACACAGAGGTCTAACATTCATTCTGCCTATGATCTTCTTAGTACAAGGGCAGCACAGGCTAGATGCAGCAATTCTGAATGGTTCTATTCTCATTGGACTAATCTTCTGGCTCTCTAACTGTGAAGTGGGGCCTCCCTTGGGGATGTGGAACCCTCAGGGATGTTGCTGCAAAATCTGAAGAAGGGATAGGATCTTTAAGAAGTCAGAGCTTTCCCTTTCTCTCTCCATCAGCCAAGACACTGAAGGGGCTGATGTGTAAAGTTTTGTTTTGAAAAACCTGTGGGTTTAAAGCTAACTTAATATTATTGAGCATGGTTCCGTTAACGTTGCTGGAAATGATTCGGTTACTGTAGTTTTCTTCTAGTTCAGTTTTATAAATTTTTGATGGGAAAAGTTTGTCATTTTGGTACAGTACAAAGCCAACTCTCTCTGTTCCAGTTAAATCTGGAAGTAGCAAATGAAATTCAGTCAATGCAGAGAAACATACAATAATAGTAGTAATAGCATTTATTTTAGTGTTCAAAGCACTTCACGTACACTATTATGTTGTAATCCTTACGAGAACTTTGTAAAATAGACTAATTATAATTCCCATATTGCAATTAAGGGAGGGCCTGGGGCTTAGAGAGAATGGCTTGCTTAATACCACTGATGGCGCCATCCTAAGCAAAGAGATTCTCCTAAACCCACTGGTGTCAATGGACTTTGAAGGCTGTAATGCTGCTTAGGATAGCACTGGTAGCAGGCCTGTAGCCATGGTGGTGCACAAAGGGGAACGACTCCACCAATCATTAGTCATGTCCCTCTGATCAGCACTAGGGGTTGTGAAATCTGTCACAAGTCTTCTGCCAATGACAGAGAGCATTTGCTTCCCTCCTCCCACCTCCCTTCCCAGGCTTTGCCAATGAGGGAAAGATTCTCTTTCCAAGCCCACTGGGGGGGGGGCTGACAATGGGCAACGCCCCACCCTTGATTTGGCCTGCCCTCCCTCACCAAACAGCCATGCCTTTTTTGTTTTCCTTCCCCCCACCACCTTTGCTTCCCAGTGAGGCGTGAGCCAAGCCAGAGCCTCATGAGCACAGGAGGAGAAGCAGGGGAGGTGGGCCTCTCTAGAGCTGGGTGTCTCTAGAAAGAAAGCTGAGTGGAGGGGCAGAGCATCTGGCTGCAGGCACCGCAAGGGGGGTATACTAAAAGGAATGACAAAATTGTCCACTGGAAACAACTGGAGAGGCTTGAAGGCCCATGGAGATAATGGGAACCAGGAATGACAATTGAACTGCAAGCAAAACTCCATTGAAATACATTGCAGCACAAAAAAGTTGCAAAGAAAAAGCAGAATGTGTTATTCATTAAGGTCTCTGGGAATACTCTGGTACTGGAATGACAGCCCCCAGAGGGCTCTGGGACTGGAAAGATGGGGCACAGAGTTGAATGACAGCCCTGAGAGTAGCAGGTGTTCTGGGAATGGAATGACAGGGCACAGAGTGGAATAACAGTCCCTAGCAACAGAATCTGTGCTCTGGGACTGGAATGACAGCCCCTCATTTATAATAAAGTAAATAAATAATGATGTGCTCACCACCACTGTACTCATTTGCCGTCGGTCCCCCCCCACAAAATTTTATGGCTATGGGCCTGACTGCCAGTCAACTTGTGACGTCCCAGTTCACATTGCATTCTCTTAGCTACCATTCCACACCAGCTATATTCCCATAATGTGTATTTGTTTATTGTCTAGCAGACCAGCTGCCTTCACTGAAGTGAATGGGGCAGCTCACAAACCCAAGAGCCCCCCTGAGGCACACGTGGAGCTCTGATAGAAGTAAATGTGTTTTATAACCTGTTCCACAGGTAGTTTTAAATGTTAATAATTTGTAATGTATATAATTTTCTATCTTATTTTCTTCTTTAAAAATAAATCCCCCCTCCCATGATTTATTAACTGTATCTGCGAGACAGGGAATGGATACGTACTGGTACTTGTAATATTGATGAGTATCTGGATTTCTGTACGATCATCAGTTTTCAAGCCAGTAGCCTGTTCACTAACTTTTATTCGGTCAGAAACCAAACTGTCAGTTGATCCTGCATACAACAGTATAGCCCCAAATTGTATTAGATTACACAGAACTCTGTTGCCCATACTGCTAAATAGATAGCTAGATAACTAGGTGAACTAATGCAGGAAACTCACCCTTCATCGCAGAAAAAAGAACTGTAGTTGAGGGCTCCTGGGGAGAAATTATGCGAACTGCAATGTTGGACTGCACCACCTCTGTAGCAGAACTGTTACTCACAGAGAAATTTTGGATTGCCATTGTGAGGCTGCATTAAAATAACCAAATGTAATTATGCCAGCTATAAACAAACAATCACTACTCGTAGGAGTTCAAAGTTCTATCCACGGAGTCAAAACCTACCCAAACATAATCTGAATTTTCCAAAACCATTCTTTCCCATTCCACGGCAATAAACAAAGTTGTCATTTTCGTTTCGGTCTCCTTCTTGATTCTTATTAGCAGACAAAGTTATTCCACCTTAATTACCATGGCAGGGGTGCAGTGAACTGTACCTCCACAGCACTCTTGAGGCAGGTGGGGATTTACTTCTGAACATTAGCATAATTTACCACAGGTGACACTCTAGCCTATTTTAGGCTACCTCTGGCCACTCAGATATCTGAATTTACCCTGTGGTGTGGATGTATGGTAGGGGGTTAGTCCTCAGATCCCCCCCAAATAAATACAAAGTACATTTTGGGTTTTATTAAGTATTGTATATTGTCACAAAATAAAAACGTTCATGGTTCCTTCTGCTAAAACTGCTGCCCAGCACAGTGATGCATCCTGGGCTCTTCTAAAATGCCTTCTACTCCAGTGCACAAGAGAAGAAGGAAGTGGGCACCAGGAAACACATTTAGTGGACATCATGGCATCCAAGGTGCCACCCTGGGGATTGCTGATGTACGATAGGACCCAGAACCAAGCATAGGAAACAGATGATGCATCTGCCTTTGCCACCTAATGTATGTTATACTGAAATTAAAATAAAATGCAAAAAAACTAATTTTAAGGTAGCATCTTAAACATATCCAACAAGAAGCAAGTTTCACTTAATGGGACTTATTGTTGAGGAAGCATGTTTATAGTGCCGGTGAAGAAAACAGCATAGTTCAAATGTGAACACATACTTTTCCTATGAATTACATATTTAAATCAGGAAGCTGTTATTACCTTTCTATAGAGCTAGTGAGGTTTTTATCGGATAAATTAAATTCAGTCTTGTTGGCATCTAAAATCTGGCTTACTGTAGTCACTGCAGCAACCATCGCCTGCCCAGATAAAAACATGTTTGTTTTTTAAAAGACCTTCATTTTATATGACGTATTACCCAGTTTTTAACTGAATGAAAAATTATTTCTTTATTTTAAAACATTTTTATGCCACCTTTCCACTCAATCATGGTCTACGAGGCAGTGAACATAAACACATTTAAATATTTAAAAGTATAGATTCAACTAAAAATACATAAACAACAGTACAAGGAGGGGGGGAAACATGAGTGGGGGTATGCCAGATGAAACAAAAAAGTCTTCACCTGCTGGCAAAAGACACTGATAGAGGGAGACAGATGAATCTCCCTGGGGAGGGAGTTCCAAAGTTTTGGTGCCATGACTGAGAAGGCCCTTTCTCAGGCTGCCACTTGTCTGGGTTCAGATAGCGGGGGCAACCGAAGCAGGGCCTCCAAGGATGACCGAAGTAAGTAGGTAGGTTCAGATGGGAGAAGGTGATCCTTAATGTATCCCAGAAGATCAATACCAGCACCTTGAATTGAGCCTGGAAGCAAACTGGAAGCCAGTGTAGGTGGAACAAGACTGGAGTGATATGGACCTACAACTCACTCCAGTCAACACTTTGGCTGAAATATTTTGTACCAACTGTAGCCTACTGTCTTCAAGACCAGCCCTACATGGAGTGTGTTACAGTAATCTAATCTAAATGTTACTAGGGCATGTACCACAGTGACAAGAATTTTTCTATCCAGGAAGCCAAAGCTGCTGAAAAGTACCCCTGGCCACCACTGCCACCTGTTTATCCAACATACATTAAGGATCAGCTTCTCCCATCTGAACCTACCCGCTCACTCCAGCCTCGGTCCAGGAGCACCCCAAGGTATGAATCTGCTCCTTTAAGAGAAGTGCAACGCAATCCTAAACAGGGGTTAATCCATTTCCTGGGTCAGACTTTCCATGCACCAGTAGCACCTCAGTTTGGTAAGACTGAGTGGCAACATTAAGGATCACCTTCTCCCATCTGAACCATTTCCTGGGTCAGACTTTCCCTGCACCAGGAGCACCTCAGTTTGGTAAGACTGAATGGCAACTTGTTAGCCCTCATCCATTCCAAAACTGCCTCCAGGCACCTGTTCACAGTTTCCACAGCCTCCCTGGGATCTGCTGGTAGTGTGCAATAGAGCTGAGTGGCATCAGCATATTGGTGGCAGCCCATATCTTTGGATGACCTCTCCCAGTGGCTTTACATAGATGTTGAAAAGCGTGGGGGACAACATGAAACCTTGAGGAAATCCATAGGCCAAACCACCAGTCCCCCAGCGACATATCCGGTAACCTACCCTTGAAGTAGGACTAGAACCACCACAGAACACTACTTCCCAGTCCCAGTCCTGGAAGGCGATCCAGAAGGATACCATGATCAAGGACATCAAAAGTTGCCAAGAAGTCCAGGAGAATTAACGGCTGCACTCCCCCGTCCATCTCCTGGCATATAAGAACATAAGAAAAGCCCTGCTGGATCAGACCAGTGGTCCATTCAGTCCAGCATCCTGTCTCACACCATGGCCAACCAGTTCCACTAGATGGCCAACAACAGGGAATAAAGACTGAGGCCTTCCCCTGATGTTGCCTCCTGGCTCTGGGATTCAGAGGCTTAGTGCCTCTGACTGTGGAGTTTCCCCTCAGTCACCATGGCTAGAAACCACTAATAGACTTGTCCTCCATAAATCTAATACCCTTTTAAAACTGTTTATTTCTACATCCACCAGGGCAACCAAAGCCATTTCAGTCCCATAACCAGGCCTAAAACCAAACTGGAATGGATTTAAACAATCGGCTTCTTGAGAAATCTCTGAAGCTGGCCAGCCACCACTTGTTCAGTCACCTTGCTCAAGAATTGTACATTTGAGACTGGAGGGCAGTTATTCATCTCTCCTGGGTCCAGTCTAGGTTTCTTTAGGAGTGGACGCACCGCTGCCTACTTCAAAGTATCAGCAACCACCCCATCTCTCAGGGAGGCAATTACTTTCTCCTGGACCCAGTCCACCAGCCCACCCACCACAGATTTAAGCAGCCAAGATGGACAAGGGTCATACAAGCAGGTGAAAGGCTTGAAACTCCCAAGAGTCTTTTCCACATCCTCAGACTGAACAAGCAGAAAGGTATCCCACACAACTGGACAAACTGGAACCCTGGAACTATCCAATCCTGTTGCTGCTAATGTAGAGTCCAAGTCACAATGGATGTAAGAAATTTTATCTGCAAATTACTTAGCAAAATGATCACAGCAGGGTTCCTGAGCTGTCCACCTCCTCCAACTGGCCAGAACCCAATATGCCCCTGACAACCCAGAAGAGTTCTGTACGTCTACACTGCATGGATGCAATGGTGGTTGGAAAATATTGCTTCTTTGCCACCATCATCACCACAGAATAGGCTTTCAAATCAGCTGTGGCCTGTACTCAATCAGATTCATCCCAAATCCCCACCATTGCTCTTGTTGTCTCCCCTGTCTTTTTATCATCTGCAGCCCCTTAGTAAACCAGGAGTTTGCACAGGATCTTCGACCTGACAGAGAGCGCCTAAGTGCAATCATGTCAATTGCCTAGGTCATTTCCCCATTCCAGAGGTCAACAAGGGCACTGAGAGAAGCAGAAGTCATACCAACAAGAAGATCCCCCAATGTTGTCTGAAAACCTACTGGATCTATCAGGTATTGGGCCAGATCATCTTAATTGATTCCCACCCCTGAGGATCCTTGGTTACCCCTATAGGTTGAAACCCCAGCAAGTAAGGATCTCTCCATGACAAGGGGACCATCTTCAATCCTCCACCTTCAGATCATCTTCCTGCCCAGAATAAAACACCAGAGCGAGAGTGTGACTTGCACAGTGCATGGTGCCTGTTACTACCTGAGACAGGCCCAATGTTGTCATGGACACCATGAAATCATAACCCAGTCCCAACAAGGTAGGCTCAGCATGGGCATTGACGTCCCCCAAGGTAACCAACTTAGGAGTCATCTATACCATGTCCAATACCACCTCCTCAAGCTCAAGCAGGGAGAGACTTGGCCAGTGGGGTGAGTAGTACACCAACAGAATTCCAATCCTGTCTCACACTCCCACCTCTAGATAGACACTCTCAAACCCAGCAGACCCCTGGACAGGGCATCGAGCCAGGGGGATGGAATCCCAATAGACTACAGTGACACCACCACCATGCCCACCAGACCTATGCTGATGCATCACTGAGTACCCTGGGGGGGCACAGCTGGAATACTCCCCCACCACCACCAGGTCTCAGTGATTTAATCAATTTTAAATAAAGAATAGCAGGACTGTATAGCAAAAATTCCATGCAAATATGCAAATAAATGGCATAACTGAGGCATAGGCTTGTACCAAAGGGGAGGAAATTATCCCACTTATGCATGTAGATAAGCATCAATGAATTTATGAATCTGCCACATACTAGCTCTGTTCACAAGCTACATTCAATCTGTGTACAGTCTACATTTGATTTTTTCCTTCGTATGTGTAGAGAATAATTCTTATGCTACAGTCAACACATGTACAGCTTAAAAATGTGATTGAAATCCCACATGTAGCCAGGTATTGATCCCTGGTTTCATTTGGAAAGTGAACAATTGTTGGCTCTTTCATATAAACTTGTATGCATGTAGGATGTACATGTGTTCTATGTAACGTGTAAACAAGGCTACTATGTCAGACCATTGGTCTGCCATGTTCAGTACTGTGTACTCAGACTGGCTGCAGTTCTTCAGGTTCCTGTCAGAAAATTCCTAAAAAGTTTGCTAAATAATCAAACTACTGGTGGGGCTATGGCAGCCAAATAATCAAGACTATGGATGTCCCAGCAAAGGATAGACACCTGACAAAATCTGGCTGACTCTATTAGATGTTATATAGCACCATTTTGGCTAAGTCACAATGTTATTCAGGTTCAGGTCCCAAAGCCATACAAGGATCAGCAGAACCCTGAATACAGGAGCTGCAGCAGTGGTACAACCAGAAAGCCACACTGCCATCAAAGCAGATGCCACAATTATGGTTGCCTCAGCATCTATATGGACAGAAGCCAGGCACAACAAAGCTGATGGACTTAAAACCGCAACAGAGACACAATGCTCAGCCATCAGTTACTCAAATGAAAGGCCTGCCTCTGTTGTTTAAATTTGTAAGGCAGGAAGGCTTGGAATGAGGAAATTTCCATGGTTTGGATCATTCTGGAAGGGATGGAATACAGGAGAAAAAAGAAAAGATGGAAACTAATTCCTGTCCTCTCTATGACTCATGCCCTGGACAGTGAGGGAATAGATGATAGGTGGTATGGCAATAGGTATAAAGTATTCCCACCTCTGGAATTTATCCCCTTTACAAACAGAGAAAGGTCATATTTTGTCTTGTGAAAATTACCACACCTCAGATGTTATGATAGCATGTAGAATATTTGTAAGTCTTCATGGCACATACCTCACCAGGTACATCACTGTTGGACAGATTGAGAATCTTTTCTGCAATTGAAGCCGCTATAGAAATATCTGTACTGTTGAGTTTTTCGGGCCTGGAAGTGAGAATCTGTGTGTCGGTGGCAAAAAAACCTCTGTGTCATAAATATAAAAACAGCTCACAATAACTCATCCAAGATGAAGGTATTTGCCTCAAAAGGAAATGAGTCTGATCTGACAGTTATTTCCTCTGATCACACCATTTCTGAATGATCAACTTGTCGCAGCAGCTTTAAGTCCTATGTGATAGCTGCTTCCAAACAGCATGTTGCTCATCTGGAGCACAGACATGGCCATTGACTGCACTGACTGAGACCTCTGAAACAATGGATTTATTATTATTTGATTTATTTAATTATTTACTTCATTTATATTCCACCTGTTTTCCTCAGTGGGAACCCAAAGAGGCCTACATCATTCTCCACTCCTAAATTTCATCCTCACAAGATCTGTGAGATGGATTAGGCTAAAAGAGTGTGACTGGCTTGAGGTTACCCAGTAAGCT